AAAAAAAAAAGATGAAGTCAGAAAATCCATTTATGGTCTTAGCTGTGCTTGGCACACAATATGCATCAAGAAATATTAGCTCTAATCTTATAAATTATAAAGTAGTAATAAATTATAAATTTTAGAAATGTCTGATGAAATGTCATCTCAAATGAGTCAAACATATCAATCAATATGAAAGAAGTAAAAAAAAAAAAGCCATTTACCCCATCTCTTTGAGGTAAAATGTTAATATCCACTATGGGGAGATAGGGGGAAATGATTCCCTTAGCTTAATATCAAAATTTATTATTTAAAAATGACATTAGTCAAAACGCATGCTTTTCTTCAGATCTGAAATGAGGTTCAGACAAAGTCAGTAGCAATCTTACTGCCAACAAACTTGTTATTCATTTAACATTTTGAGCTTATAACTGTTGTAATCAGTTAAATTATTGTTCTGCTTATTGTGTTTGAATTCAATAAACCTGAAATACAATTAACAATAATTAACTACCTTGGTAGAATTGCTCCTTTATCAACATTTATTAAGCACTTACTGTATAATCTGTGATCCCTGAGTTTTCTGCCTATATCAAAACAGATCAATGAGCAAACAGGTCCTATCAAAAAAATATATGAGAGCCTCATCTGTTTTATGAGATCAGTGTATCAGGTGAACTGTCCATTCAGATCTCAAATGTGATCATATCATTTTTACACCCATTGCTGTTTATTAACCCAAATTTGTAGTCCATTTCCAGAAGTGCTTGTTTGTACATATGAGCCAAAATACACATATTAGACACATGCACACTTTGTGAAGCACTACATTGTATAAATTGGCCAATGTTGGTCATGTCCGGCCTGATGGAAAGAGAGAGAGATAACCAAGATCCCAAATCTTTAAATTCTTGACCCGCCAAAGAGGATTTTCCCTTAGTGGTGTTTCTTTAAGTGTCCAACTTTGTACAATTGTGTTCAATCTGAATCATTTAATAACCAAAGACAAGCAGAATAATGATTTGAGGATATAGAGAGCTTAAAACACACCAACACACACACACACACACACACACACACACACACACACACACACACACACACACACACACACACACACA